GAGTTTAGTGTCACTTAAAGTAAATCTGTGCTGCCAGAAATGCAGGGGGGAGAGGTGGGGGTGTGATTGTGCTGACTTCTCCCAAAAATATTGGTTACTTTTCAGTCTCTGGTGTCAATAGCTTTGTCTTTGACTTAGTACAAGCATACAGATTAGAAAGTCGGATCTATTGATCTCCATGCTTTTTCTAGGTCAGTTATATGAAGTAATAGGGTCATTATAACAGCTAGGCAACAAGCATTTTAAGAAGAGATGAACAGTGGTATCTTCCATTTTCTCAAGGTACAGGTTTCCTTAAGGGAAACATGATGAGTTGACTACTTATATTGTTTGTAGCTTACAGATAGTGTACACAATACAATACAGAATAGTGTTTATAAAAAGCCTGCTTTAATAGGTTCCCTTTGTATAGTTTTTATACAACGGTTCAGTGTCTCCAAATAGACATAAGTAATTTTGTACTTGTTTGTTTTTATATTCATAGCATTGAATATGGGCAATCATCACCCAGGTCTATGACAGTGATTTGCATTTAGTGCATCAACATGTAATTGAGCTAAGCTAGCACAAACATCATTTTTACCAGGTTCATTGCCTTCCAATTATACAAAGCATGCTTAAAGTATGTTTATGGACATTTCAACATTTGCATATTCTTTACAAGCAGTTGATAAGCCGTTGCTGACTTCTGTCGTTACAGCCACTGTTAAGTAATTCTGCCACCATGATGTCACCACACTTCTAGTCCATTGTTTACTTCTTCCAGCCCCATGAGTATGTTTTTCTTTAATCATTGTGTGTATATTATTATTTTTTCCCAAAAAGTGGACTATGCCTTTAAAAGGCTAGTTCACCCTTTTACACATGAAAAAGTGAGCTTATGCACAACACCCTCCTAACCGCCCTGGTCCCTGCTGCATTTATCTGTAATTTTGACCCTCACCCACTGCACACACCAGCCTGTATAACATTCCCGGCACTGGAAAAATGCACTACAGAGCCCTGTAGACCAGGGGTGCCCACAATTTTGTGTGCGAAGATCTACTTTTTGTATGACTGGCTCAATGAGATCTACCAGAACACAGGATAGGTCCGATTGCGATAAAAGTGGGCACGCCTGCTGTAGACTGTATAGTAACCAAATGCTTCCAACAGAAAGTAATAATCGGTCAGTGTGGCCCTGTCTCCTTCTGGCCAGTGAGGATGTGTTTTCTACTGGTATGCCATCCCAGAAGAAAGAGGGCTCAGAAAAGATTCTGAAAAGCTTCAGCTGCAAACTTTTACCACATGCTGTCCAGGCCGGACGGGGGGGTTCTTGAATGCGGGTGGACGTTTTTAAACGTCCTTTCCTGCTCCGCTCGTGCCCGCCGCTATTAGGCGCGTATGTGTGGGAAATCTGTGTGATTTGTAAACAGCCAGTGATGGCTGTTTACATACAAGCATTCCAGCATCTGTAGAAGCGCCCCATCGCTTGTAATATACGTGTGGGTGTGCAGCCCCCATCTCCACCACCAATGCCGAGCTCCGCTGTGCCTGGTGTGGCCTGGGACCAACACAATGGCTATGTCACTGGAGATCAGAGGGAGATCAGTACACGATCTCCTATCTGGTCTCTGAATGTGGGAAATTATGTATATTGCATCACTTTCGCACTCAACTGTCATTCCCTGTTAGAGAAGCTGGTGAAGCACATCTCTGCTTCGTCAGCTTCTCTTGGGGTCCCTAGGTGACCGGGGTCTGAGAAACCCCTGATGTCTCCATAAAGAGGACCTGTCACTGTATATTGGCTATCACATAGGGGGCTTGTTATCCCACTATGTCATAGCAATAAAGCTAAGTGGGGGAAAAAAATTAGTTACAAAAAAAATTGAATTCACATATTAAAAAAAACCCACAAAAAATGTTTAAAGTCCCCCGCCCTTCCATACATGCATTAGGGACGCCTACGTGCGAAGATAAAGATTGTGCTCCGTACGCCGCACATGTTGCATATGACCGCGAATATCGGAGTGTGAGCAATAATTCTAGGGCCATCAATCACTGATAACAGTAAATTGATGAGCAGTTAAAGCTTTTAAAGCGTTGCCTATGGCCAATTTTGGGTATGGAAGTTTTTTTTTTTGCGATTTCGCGGGCACATGCAGTTTTAAGGCTTGATGTGCTTGCTGTCTATTTACCTGATGTGACCCCATCTTTTGTGTTTTACCAAAAATTGGGTAATATATGTTTAACATTTTTTTAAAAAATGTTCAGTAGTTTTTTTTGTTCTATAGTAAAAAATAAAAACCCCAGTGGTGATTAAATACCACCAAAAGAAAGCTCTATCTGTCCCCAAAAAATGGTATAAAATTAATTTCAGTACAGCGTTGCATGACTGAATAAATGTCAAAGTACCGCAGCGCTGAATACTGAAAAATGGCCTGAACAGGAAGGGGGTGTAAACACCCCGGTCAGCAAGTGGTTAAGGATGAGGTGGCTGAAACTCGAGAGTTTTCTATTTTAATAAGTGCCTTAAGTACGATCACAGTAAAGAAAAAAAAATCCAGTTTCAGCTTGAAAAATTACATAAGAGTTGGTAGTGCTAGTATCTTAAATAGCCCTTGTATAAGTAATGTAAAATAAATGTAATTTGCATTCTGATTCTCAGTGGCCCAATATTATGTAGTAAACGTAATTTCTTGTTTCATGCGCCCTCACTACATTTGTGTTTTGCGAGAGCCAAGACAGCGGTTTGTGCCACAGCTTGGCTTTAGGACTGAGAAACTGGTGGCAGAACAAATCTTGGAATTTGGGTATCTTTGCAGTTCATTGTTCTCTGAATTACAGTATGGAGTAGGCCGAGACATGTTGTTCTCAACCTAAATCATAGCATGTATTTTTTTCATATATAATATTGCTTTAAAACTTGACTACAGTGTTGATTGTAATCACCTTTAACCCTTTCGCTGCCAAGGCGTTTTTTTTTGCACGTGTTAATCACATTTTAGGCCTGAAATTTTCTTAAAACCCCCAAACATATATTTTCTGAAAGCAAAGACCCTGTAAAATAAAATGGTGGCAGTTGCAAATTTTTATATTAGCAGAACTCTTTATCAAATCCAACAATTTTGCAAAAAAATTAACCTAAGTTAACCTTAGGGCCCAAAAACACAATAAAATACCCATTTACGAGTAAATAGATACCCAACATACCCATGTTAAAAATTGCTTGCATCCATGAAACGGCAACAAAAAACGGCACCCGAAATTGTCCATAGGTGGCGCTTTAAAAGCCTGCACAGGTCATCAGTTTACAGATATCTATGAATCTTGGCCCTGAATTATTGCTCTCACTCTGGAACATGCAGCGATACTCAACGTTTAGTGCGATCATCGGTTTCATATGTTGGCACACCCGACGCTTTACGATAATATGTTTGCGGGGGGCAAGTGACTTTAAGCCCTCATTCACACTAGAAAAGGCCGGCACATTCAGCTCCTTGCTGCTTGCACGGCCGCATTGGGCAGCTCCCGGGAAAGACAGATGCTGCGTGTGATTTAAAATGAAAAGCAAAAAGAGCGCCTCCATTGTGTAAAAACGCTTTAATAAAACGATATAAAGAGTTGAAAACATACTCAAAAAGAAATTGGAGTAAACAGGCATAAAGTATGTATCAGCGAACACAGACACTGAAATCATAGAGTTCCGGGCACAGCCGACAAGCTGCAAACATGTCTTGGTTGACGCGTTTCAGAGGACACGCCTCCTTCCTCAGAACCAATCAATTATGTGATTAGTGCGCAGCCCCTGTCCTTCTCTATGGGAGTACGCAGCCGTACGCCGCCCTACGCTCAACCGCCTTGCACATCCGTGCGGGTAAGCGTATGCGGACAGGATGGATCCAGTCTGCGTCCGAGCCAGGACACCCGCACCCGTACAGACCTGCACTTGAGGTGAGGGTAGGGGGGCGTAAGGCCGCATACTCCCATAGAGAAGGACGGGCTGCGTACTAAATCACACGCAGCACCTGTCCTTCCCGGGAGCTGCCCGATACGGAGCTGCAAGTGCCGGACGTTTCTAGTGTGAATGAGGGCTAAATGTTTGTTTTATTTTTACATATATTTAATTTAATCTTATTTTTTTTCTTCAACTTTTTATTTTTTTATTTTTTTGTTATTGCTATCACATAGAGGTGCTTACAAGCCCCCTATGTCCTGGCATACTAATGGTGTCAGGTTCTCTTTAAGGTGATATTAGGGGTCAATTAGACCCCTAATGTCACCTTTCCACTCCAAATAAGCTATTGGCCTGATATTCACAGGCCTGTGGAACCAATCTGACGGAAGCTCAGCCGTCCAAATCACTTTGTGTAAAGCTGACAGTCGGCTTTACACATGTAAACGGAGTCTGTTTAAAGGGGTCCACTGCTATGCATTGCATTGTTATACAAATTTTACATTTAGAAGTTTGTAGCTTGATAAACTTGTAGATTAGCTCACTTCTTCCTGTTGCACGGCAGAAGATTATGTACAGCTGTGTCAGTTGGTATTTCTTTATTTGTAGTCCACATTCAGAATTTGCAAAACTGTTGTCAAAGTGTCAAGCGTAATGAAGAAATTAAAATGTTTGTCCTCTTTATCAAATTCAGCAATTCGCATACAGAACCTAGAATCAGACAGAACAAAGTTAAATGTCTGGAGCTCCAGGGTCCTCTAAAGCCATATGCATATCATGGAGATAGCCATTATCTATAGCGGGTTGGAGAAATTAATATGCATTTCAGGAGCCAGCTTCAGAAGTTAGATGCCAGCTGTGATTTTTAATGAACCACGGCTACCTTGTTCCTGGAATTTGTCTAGCCCTGCTCCATAGCCAGGTCTGGCACATGAGCACAATGTTGGAGGGCACTGTAGCAATAGATGAGCACTGCAAGTTTTACCCTTTAAAGAAGTAGAATAGAAAGCACAGGTCAGAGACCGGGGCTTCCAAAAATCCATACCTTGGTTTGGTAATACAAAAACTTTTTTTTTTAAATTCAGATTTTTTTGATGCATATCTTCTCTTTTTTCTTTGTGATAATTCTTCGTTGATTAAGAGGAGTGGCAGTCTGAGAATATACAGTGGGCACACTGTCAGGTAGAGTATATCCGTGATGCAGGTCTGATGTGTTGCTTTCACTCCTGCTACTTTCCCGGCTGCTTTTACAAAGCAGGCGAAACACTGTTTTACGGACACTGCTAGACAATAGGAAATACATGATCGGGTCCAGGCAGCTATTGAAAGCCGACAACGCCAGTGTGATCTCATTTGCTTTGTGAACTCTCTCAATCCAATAACATGAGATATTTTGCAGCTGTGTTGTAATATAAACAATCCTAAAGGTGTGATAAGGTACAAAGCACAGGGTAAAGATGAAGAGTACAAAAAATGACTTGTAAGCTGTGATGTAATATTTTCCAGCATTTGGTAGGTAGGCACGCTCCCTGGAAATCTTGCGTAGGTTCTTGCCTATCTTCACATATGACAGGATCAGCATAATAAATACTATCCAGAAGATCAGTACAATAAAGTAATTAAATGCTGCTTGCCAAATTGCATCTGTCCTTTTTGTATACTGAAAGCAAACATTGTCACTTGATTGGTCCTTAATTGACTGTGTTGCAATATGAAAGATGCCTGACAAAATGGCTACTGCCCACAAGCTGCAGCAGATCTGAATACTGCATTTCCTCCTTGAAACGTTCCGGCTTCGCTGTGACCTCTTAACTTTTACATAGCGATCCATACTTATGAGACCCAAAAGGACAATACTAATATACATGTTCATGTAGAATAAGTTGCCAACAACTTTACAGAGTACAATTCCCAGTTTCCACTCTTGGGTGATGTGATACATTATTCGGAATGGAAGACAGAAAATCAGTAGCAGGTCAGCTATTGCTGCGTTGAGGAGGTAAATTTGTACAGAGTTTCTTTTGTTGTGGATGCACAGAAACACGTATAAGGCCAACATGTTGCCTAACAATCCCACAATAAAAATGAAAGAATAGAAAACCACTAAAGCAACACCAAGTGATGTTTCATCTATTGAGCACGTTGAAGAATTGTCTATTGAAGTGGAGTTAATGGAGTGTTTGGTGAAATTATCCACAAGGTAGTTCTCATTTATAGGCGTCAAGACCCAAGAGTTTGATGTAAGATGCATTTTTCTACCTGTTAAAAGAAAAAAAAATGTTTTTCGTTTAATTTGTTTGAATGATATTTGTAATTTGGTGATACATCACTACCGGGTAATAGGCAGAATTCCTACAAATCAAAGGCTTTTACATTTTCGTCACATTACTAGCATGCAAAGTGCTTACATTCAGCTCTGAAAAACTATATATTTTAGCTGTTCAGATTGCAAATAGCAGAAAAAATAAAACTGCCTCTCACTTTGTGAACACATTTATTGGTACTTATAATAACAATATAATTTAGAATGTATAGTTTTAAAAAACGATATGATCGTAATTCCCCATATTACCACTATTGACTTTTATTTTCACCCAGTTTTGTATTCACACCTGTAACTGAAGTTACCCTCTTATTAGTTGTGGCTGGATACCAACTTTTAGCTTTGTTAAAGAGCAGGACAAATTTATTAATTTGCCTGAATACATTTTTATTTGTGACGTAAGGGAAACTACTTGAATTTCATGGGCACCTTTCCTTAGCTGCTGTAAGAAAGGGAACACTTGATAGATAATTCACATGTACAATTTTCACTGCATTACCTTCCTTGTCCTGACCATTGCAAAGTTAGACCATCTGATTGTGTGAACTTTTTTTTTTCCCCTTATGCCCGATTACTCCAAGTTAAAGTTCAGAAAAGCTGTAGAGCTTCCTGTTCTAGTCTGTGATCATTTTTGTTTGTTTTAATGCCTTCTGCCCTACTTGGCTCCATCTGTATTTTGATTATACCAGTACAGGAGAGAGCTTGCTGGTGGTGCTACATCTCAGCCTTATGACCTAGCCAATTCTGCTTGTACTGCACACATAGTAGGTTGCAGCAGATAGGTTAGTGGTCTCATAGCGCATATCAGCTTAACAGTAAAGAATGGTCATCAGGAAGGCAGTGAGTTATGGACGATTACTTTAGTGGTAGGCAAGGTTTCAAAGTTAAGAATAAGTTATAACCCAATCAATACCTGCTGTTTCTGCATGTACAGATTGAAGGTTTAAATGTATACCTTGATACTGTTATAAATGTTAACCATTGTAATAAAATGTAAAGGGACACTAAATCTTAATCAATTCAAGTACCTAAACTGATACACAAATAAGATACATTTTTGTTACTACTCGGCTGCAGATCCTCAAATCATCTCTGAATTTGTGCTGTCGCTGTCCTTTTATGGAGGGTGGCTACTTTTGTTCCCCATGGTCCCTGTGTGTGTTGTAATGTAGTCACTTCACTTTTGTTAATAGTTTAGGTGCTTGGATAAATGTTTAAGTTTTAACTCCCGAGTTTAGTGTCACTTTAAGACACACATTTGTTCACAGGTTTTCCCAGTCTTCTTGTCAACAGTCAGTAGGCTTTCTTTAGACCTGCCTCTTCATTTGCAGATTGGATCAAAGTTGTGAAGGATAAAAGTAGAGAAAGGGTATATCTAAATTTAAAGGAAAACTATGGGGTTAGGGCTTTCCCCCGTTGTTCTCCTAAGGGTCATGGGAGAACACAAACTAGCGTCCTCCCGTTACACAAAGCTCAGTATACCGCGAGCTACAGCTGAGACGCCGCAGTCGGAACGGATCCCGACCATTATGTCTAGATCCACCCAGCTGCGTGAGGGACAGCTGGCTCTGCCTATCTATAGGCAGAGCCAGCTGTACCCGCCCCCTCCCCAGGCCGTTCCGCCAGTCAGCCCTGGAGAATCAGACAGAGGAGGGGGGAATCCAGTCCCTCCCCTGTCACGACTCTCTGCCGGCACAGGATCGAGAAGTGAGCGAGCGCCGGTAATTTAGAATTGAGCCGACCTGTGACAGTTTCTTTGTCACAGGTCGGCTCAGATTATGAGGCTGAGTGAAAATCACTCACCTCATAGTTCTCCTTTTAATTTAGAACTGCTAACTGTATCGCTGTACAGGTCAAATCTATCCTATCTCTCTATCATGAATAGCGCATTTAGGCTGTCCTGCATATGGTAATTTGGTGGCTGGCAGCCTAACACTACCACTAAGTATTTGACATCAGTAGGCCCATCACATTTCCAGTTTTGAGATGTATGTATAGGTGTGTAATATAAATATATGCACACAAACACACACACACGTACCTCGTTTAATGAACTTAATTAATTCCACGATTCTGGTCACGAACCGAATTGGTCACGAACCGAATTGGTCGCGAACAGAATCAAATTTTCCCATATGATTCATTGTAAATGAGGTTAATCCGTTCTGAACCATATGTAAATTCATTACCACTCTGCACTTTCTTTTTACCACCATGCTTTCTCTGCACTTTCTTTGGAGCCATGCTGGATTGAATAATACTGTAGAGTACTGTATGTGCTAAAAAGCTTCACAGCAAGTGTGCACAGGTCTGTCTGCGACCGCAATCTCGCCTAGAGTAAGCCACGACTACGTGTCAGAGCGGGGAAGATGGCCAAGGTCGTGTTCGTCACCCGATTTGGAGTTCGCGAACAGAAGCAATATTTTGCCGAACTCCCTGTTCGCAAACCGAAGTGTTCATGAACCGAGATATTACTATATATATCTATATCTATAGATATAGATATCTATATATTATAATATACATATACATGCTTGTTTGGCACATCTGTTAACCTTGGAGATTCTCTTTCAAATTTGATGGTTTTAATTACGTTAATCTTGACCACCCGTAGTTTCATTTTGATCAAGTGAATGTTTTGTAGTGCTCTTCATAACAATACTGTGGCTTGTGTTACTTCACATTACAAATGTAATCAAGTCTACTGTTTATCGATAACTGATGGTAGTAAATTGTAATGTCAACGTTCACCCTGTTGAGCGAGAAAAACACCTTTATGTTAAAATGAAATATTTGTAATAACAGCTAGGAATACCTAATTATGTTGGTGGTTTGGTTGGTTTTAAATTCTAGGGGGAGAGCAGTCACCAGGTGAACCACAGGCTGACATTGGGAAAGATCAAATGTCTTGTAGCACTATGCAAGTGCCATAAACTAAAAGCACTATATTAATCCTCAATAACTCATGCAATAATGCATGAGTTGGTATATTTAGTATGCTATCTTTTTATTGCAAAAATTAAATATGTATTTGCTTTGCACCTTGTACATTTTCACCCATGTAGCCTCTTATGAAATCAACGTTTTACATTTATCGTGTGTGCATTTGTGTTGGGTATGCTATGGGGCATGTAGGGTATTTAGGAGACCACTCATTTTTCTACCTTCTGGGTATTTAAATGATTTTATACATAAAAATTTACCAATAAGGACTTTAGTGCCATGGAATGTTAATTCTTGGAGGCATGCATTTATTGGGGTTGTGTGTGATGTTTTGTGGGTTTTGTTTTCAACCAAATCTATTTGGTTAAAGTGTAAATATTGTACAATTGTGAATATTTATACATTAAGACCATGTAGAGTGAAATGTGTTTTATGTTGTATTATGTGCTGGTATGACAATTTTGTAGGCATTATAGTGTAGAATTGTTCGCTAATAGTGTGTATTGTAATGTCCATTTCTTTTTGTCTCAATTGGCTGGCAATGCATAGTGACAGAAAATCTAACTCATGCTTCAGGTTTTGGCTTAAGTTGCACTACAGTTTTTGTTTTTTCAGGAGTAAATTCCTGATTTTCATATAAAACAATGATCATTTAATGCTGCTAACTATCACAGATTACTTCTTAGTTTATTACGTGCACATTTAGAGTAAGACATGTTCCTTTCAGATGTAATGCACTGCAGATAGAGAAGCAGACTGGAAACAGTTTGTAGCTTACTTATAAAATGCCATGAACTTGGGAGCCAGAAGCTTTTAATAAATGAAGTTCGGGTGATGTTATGGGGTGACAGCTGTAATGGAGATCAGCAGCCGTGTGATCCAAACAAATGAGGAAAAAAACAAAATAAACAATTAATATGGGGGGTTAGGGGGTGTTGGGATTTATCAAAATTGGAGCAGACAAAATCTGGAGCTATTGCCAATAGTAACTGGTCAGTTTCCCTCCTCAGTCTGTAAAGTGTTTTGATAAATTCCCCTCAGTTTTAGCAAGTTAAAGTAGATCTAATCCTGAACTGGATGACATTAAGTAACTTTTTTTTTTTTTTTTTACAGTCTCCATTATCAATTGGCCGAAATGAAAAAGTTGTAGAAAAACAGCATGTAGTTAGACTATGGTAGATTTGTACAGCTAGGTTTCTGAGCCCTCATTTTGTGTTAAAACATGCATGACACTAGAAATGCACATCAAAGGCACAGTACATCATGTGGAAAGCTCCCTATAAATATTACACAAGCCAGTGGGATATCCCTAATTAGTCCACACATGTAAAAGAAAACCATCCAAAACTTTTCTAGTTCATCTAAGCAATATATCCAATTGGGAGCTTTGTACCCATACTCTTCGGTCTTCTTTTAAAGGTTAAAATAGCCAAATATAGTTTCTTACACTGTGCCCTTTTTATATAGTTGGCCTAGGCAATTTCACCATTGTTTCCCCACATTTCTGTATTGCTATTAATAACCCAGAAAAGCATATTTTGAAGATACATTTACCAGGTTACAGGAAGCTTCTGACTTTTTTCACCAAATGATTTATAACCTGAGCCAAATGTAACCCATGATTTTCGTTAGAGGGAAGCTGGAAATAGAGTGCCTCTCATATTCCTCAATTTTGACTTTGATTCTAATCGCATTAAAGATATTTTTGTTGAGGCCATGACTATCAATGAGGTGATTTCTCTGTTTTTCAAGGTTTCAACAGTTAATGTGGCATTTACCAAACATTTGCTGTAGCTGTATCAACTAATGTAATTTAAAATCAAAATGTTCACCTGTATGGAATGTTTATCAAATGTTTTCAAATGTGTGATGTGCTTGGGGCACCATTACTTGGTATTGGCTTGCCAAACGCAGCAGACAAAATGTGGTTCTTTGCCCACGCAATGATGCACAGTAAAACAAATACACGTGAAGCTCGCAGCTGAAATAGGTGCATGAGCTTCTTTTCAAAATTTGTTGCACACAGGACTGCCCAATAAATAAAGTGTGAACGGGGGATGACAGATTTTCTGATTCTTACCACCATCTAAAACCTCCACAAAAAAAAAATGTCCCTGGAATTCCACTATAGCAGACCCTGGAATAATCATCTTGGGCTCTGGCACAATATTGCTTCTCTGGTTTGCCTGGTAGATGTACACATCCAAGCAAAATCATAAATGGCATGCTTAGATTCTACATAGCTATGAGCTGTTGCTGATGGGAAAACATTCCACTGTAACTGGGTTTGGAATTTTGACTACTGAACATAAACGCCCATGATGTTTTTAGGACATGTTTTAATGTGTTGCTTGTGTGAATGTGAACTAATTTGTGTTCTCCCTTGTGCCAAAATAACAGTAAAATAAACAGCAGCTTTTTGTTTTTCCTTAACTTAATTCTGAGAAAGCAATTGCCTTTTGCAGGCTTATTTGGTAAGAATTAAAGCATATCATCTGTTGGTTTAGGAGCATTATTGTTAAAGTAATTTTTGAATGAATTGAAAATTATCCATGCATTTTGTTTCATATTTGAGAGGGGGAAATCACTGACCTTATATGCTGATAATTCAGATACGTAGACCTTCAGGCAGCTTTTCCGTTTTACTTTGTACAAGTCCACAGTCATGTGAAAATCATGTTGTACTTTGTGGTATCTGCTTCCTTCTTCATACTGCTCAAATATGCTGTGTAAGGTGCATCTCTGCAAGGAATGATTTTGAAATGCCTGAGTTGTTACATAATTAATTTGAAAGGCGTGTATAACACATTTTGCTCAAGAAGTTCACTTGCACCTGTGAGAGTAGGTTCTCTTTAGCCTTCCATCTCTGTATGTGACCCAACAGGTGACACTTCCTGTCCAGGACCAGTAATGGGTTTCTAGCAGGAGAAACAGACTGGACAAGTAAAGTAACTGAGCAGTAATCATGGCCACTTATTTGGTAGTTTTCTGAAAGTTAAAGGGAAATCTTCCACGAATTTGCGTCCAAGGTTTTGTATGTTGGATGTTCACTTTGCAGAAACAAAATCCCAGAAAATGTTATCAATAGGTGCCTTGTTTTTACCCTTTCGCTGCAGAACATTTTTTACGCACCTATTAAAATGCAAGTAGGTTGGATAAAAAATTAAGTAAAACTACATTTTCTTAATCCAAGGGACCTGTAGAATAAGATTTCTGTTTCAAAAGATGATTTCGGAAATGTTTATCAGTTATATTTTCAGTGCAAAAAACACAAATTATTTTTGATGTTCACAAATGCAATATCATTTCAATGTATTTTTTTTTTAAATATATAAAAGGTGAGACTGTATTGAGTAAATAAGTACCAAATATGTCAAGCCTCAAAACTGTGTGCCTGTGAAATGGTGGAAAAAAAATAGGATACCCAAAATTGTACATTTGGCAGCTCATTAAAAACCTAACCGTTTTGAGTGAACAGTAAATTATGGCCATAGAATTAGTCTTCTACCTCTGGGAAGTGAGGGAGAATCAAATATTTGTTGCAAAATTGGTGTTCCCAAGTGCATGTATGTCTACATGTGTGGGAGGGAGGAGGTCCTGTAATTTTAGTTATTTATATTGTTTTTTATCCTTGCTTTTTAAGCAGGCAACTAAAGCAATATTTTCTTCTGCATTTAATGGCTGTATTGATAGCGCAAGTGCTTCACATAGCACTAAAGGAGTAACTGCTTAATAGTTATCGGGAGCTACACGCCTCATCATAACAGTGTTTGTGCGCATGCATACCATTGGTGTGATGATGTCAACGCAGCCACAGATCAGACGTGTTTCGTCACGTCTGTGGTATGTCTGATTTGTGACAAGCATATATTGACCAACTTATTGATTTTAAGTAGTCACATCTATCTAGTGAGTGTTCATTGGCTGGAAGTGTTCCAGGTGGAGGAGTTTGCCAGCACAGTTTTTTTTCGGCAGGCCTCTCTGTCTCGCTCTCTCTCCGTTTGTCTGTCTCATCAAAACTGGTGCAGCTTTGCAAGCAACCAATCAGATTCTCTTCAGTTAGGATTTGGAAATAAAAGGTGGATGCTGATTGCTTGCCGTGCACAGCTGCTCCAGATTTTGTCTCCTCCAGTTTTAAAACATTCCCATTGAATAAAAATTGATTTGTTTAAGCCTGTATTATATTTTCTATATTTGTATTAACATACATGTCAATAATGTGAAGTTATATGTTACGCCTCATGTGTATATATATTTTTAAAATAATTTGGGTAGAGCGCATCATAGCTACTACTGATAATAAGCAGGTTACCTATAGTAAAAAAAAAGTGTCTGTTGACTGAAAAAAGGTTAATTTTGTTGTGGTGATTAATGCCATTGTCTTTTTTTTTTTTGGTTGTAGCCACATTGTGTACTCCTCGCTTCAAAAGAAAACTCTGCCCCGGTCAAACTTGGAGGATTTGGTGTTGCAATACAGCTGGGGGAGTCTGGTCTTGTAGCTGGAGGTAAGAACTAGAACATTTTGCGGTTTTAATACAGTATAGCTTTTAAGGATTTGGTACATTACTAAACTACTCTTGTGTGTGCATTAAAGAAAACACAAGCTTTGCGTGTGTCTGTATACATTATGTATACTTTTTTCCTGCCATTTTTCTTTTTATTGCTGTCTGTGACTGTTAGAGAAATTTCACTTCACTTTCTTGTGCCTTTGACAGCGGGACAAAAAAAAAAAGAGCAGTTGTTAGCTCTGGGCATGGATGCCCTTACTCGCATATGGAACCTTAGTTTGTGGTATGCTTTTCTCCCATTTTCTGTTTCCCTTAGTGGTCACGAAAATTATTTAGGAGAGTACTGATCATTCTGGTAGCTTCATGGAAGCCAAGAAGAATTTTGTGCTTGTCTCTTAATTTCTCAATTTCTCTGTTAAAGGTTCTATTGCTATGTAGAACTGTTATCCAGCCAGGACATGACCTTCTGAAGAATGTTATCACAGGCTGTTGTGCCTCTCTAATGTATGATCGTTCCTTGCTTATCCGGTCAGGTAGCTGTCCTGCAAGATGATTAAGGAAAAACCACGGTTAGACTTGCCAGTAATGGTGTTTCATGGAATATTCCCACCCAGGGTTTTATCCTCGTGAGCCGATTGTGTTAATTTGGTATCAACTTTTTTTTTGTTTAATTCTTTATTTTGTAAAACAGGGTTATCCATACAAGAGTGAAGCATATCAGTAAGAAGTACAATACAATCAAGGCGAAAAAGTGCCAATGCTAATAAGAGACATGTATTCGATCGGATGGATCCTGTAACTTTTCAAATGACAGTAAAACATATAACAGACATATAGGGGAATTCGGATGGACAATAGGAACATAGCATTACGTGTGTGATCCTTCTGCCTCACCCTACTGTCCCTAGAATGTGTCATAACAGAAATAGGAATCACAGTTTAACTATTCGTTCAGTCCGAAGTAAATTCGCTACATTGGTGTATCCATTGGCGTTCCACAGATAAACATGTGACCGTGATCGGTCTCATTGAACAGGTCGCATGTTAATATCCTATCATACATAGGTAGCAGTCTATACATAGTCCTGGAACACCTAGATTAACTACTTCGATGCTGCATCCTGGTTACACGAGACATGCATAGATCAAGACATGGAGAATTACGTTTCTGCAGCGAAAGAGACAGTCTCGGTCGGTAAACTTGGGTAGTAGTAACTTGATGTGAGGGACTTTTTAACTGCTTTATGGTTTGTGCCTCTAGAGCAGGGGTAGCAAACCTCCGGCCCTCCAGCTGTGGTGGAACTACAAATGCCATGAGGCATTGCAAGATTCTCACATCCACAGACATGACTCCCGAAGAGATTTGGGATTTGTAGTTTCACCACAGCTCGAGGGCCAGAGGTTTGCTACCCCTGCTCTAGACGGTATAATTTTGGTTTACATGTTGCTGCTATGGCAATGTGTAAACCAAAAGATTATCTGCTAGAGCGTACGGTGTGCATACACAGGATTGACGGCACTTACGTAGCTTTTGCAACATGTAAACAAAATGATTCCCCTCTAGTGCGCTGGGTGCGCCACCAATCCCATCAATGCACCCCCTAATGCTCTAATGGGGAATCATTTGGTTTGCACATTTCTATAGTAACAGTAACATGGGTATCTCCAATTTAGCATATGTTGTACACCCGTTATTATTCTCCCTTAGGCAAGAAATTAAGTACAGGAACATGAAGAAGGGTACTTGTAAAGAAAAAAAATATATACAAAAATTATATCTGATATGGACAACGTGGGGAGTAAACCATGACATGTTGAAAAAGAGGTATAAGTTTGGCCCTAATTTTCTAATCGTTCTAGTTTATAACTTTCACCTTTTCTGAATTTAGGTATTAATTATGTATGTTCTGCTTCCTGGAGCTCTAAGAGACAAATGCATGTGCTTTGGGTTAAGGTTCCATAGATAAGGTGTAAATTACTGCTAAACCTTTTTCTGCCCTGTGTTTCCACTAAATTTTTAGTGCATTTTTCAACCCACTCTAAAGGGGCTCATTTACAATAGAGAGCAGTTATGTGCTTTTTCTTATACGGCAGACTTTTTTTTAGCCTTTTGATTTATAGCTGTGTGAAGCCTATGGTGTGACTGGGCTCTCTTCCCAGCTTTTTTTTTTTTTTTTACTTATTCGTTTTAATAGTGCTCTGCTGACTTTGGAGTTCCCAAGCCAGCAAGAGTAATGAACACATTTGTAAAGCACACCACGGTACTATTTTATACGGCAGACTTTTTTTTAGCCTTTTGATTTATAGCTGTGTGAAGCCGATGGTGTGACTGGGCTCTCTTCCTAGGTTTTTTTTTTTTTTTTTACTTATTCGTTTTAATAGTGCTCTGCTGACTTTGGAGTTCCCAAGCCAGCAAGAGTAATGAACACATTTGTAAAGCACACCACGGTACTATTGGTACCATACCTTTATTTCCTAGATTTGCATTACGAGAGTTTCCCACTCGGACACGTTCATTTTTTTTTTTATATAAAAAAAATACGACAGAAGGTGCTGCAATTCACAAAGATGGGTGGAATCCCTAAACCTTCTCAGTGGACTGGAACTCAATCAGGAAGTATGCCCAGGAAAGCTTGCTAATAGAGTATCCAAGACCTACAATAAGCCAGGGACAGTCTCAGCTGATCAGAATCCTACCCATAACTAAAATGTCACTTTTGGGCTCACTGGCCCTTTGATGTTTTAAAGTAGAACTATGAGGTGAGTGAAAATCACTCAGCCTCATAGTTCAAGCCAACGTGTGACAATGAAACTGTCACACGTTTGCTCAATAGATCGGGAAGTGAGTGAACACATACCGTCGCTCGCTCACTTCTTGATCATCTCCCTGCAGAGAGCCATGACTGTCAGTCACGGCTCCCTGCAGGGATTCCCCCCCTCTCTGATCCTCCAGCACTGATCGCTTGTATGTAAACCGCCATCGCTGGCTGTTTACATGCTCACAGTTTTCCTTGGCAACCTTGGCTCTCCAGCTGTGCTGAAACTACAAATCCCATCATGCTTCTGCCATTTGGACTCATGCCTGTGGAGAGCCACGTTTGCCTACCCCTGTTCTAGTGAGAAAGAAAGATTAAAGTATTGTAAGGAGAAGTGCCAAGTGATCTTTGTCAGAGTAAATAGCCATACATTTAAACCTGTATGTATGGGTCTGCAGCAGCTGCAGAAGCCATGACCTGGCTACCATCTGAGAGAATGTGGTTTGGATAGCTTGAATTTCTACAGCTGATACTTAATTGTTCTCTGATCTTCATTGCAATTCTGGGCAACAAATGAGTCAACAAATAATATCACTTTGCAGTGTGCTAGGCTTGTTTGTAGCCTTGGTACAGAATTTAGAATTTCTGGTCAGTTTATCTTGATATTGGCAGTGTATGCTTTCAGATTCTCAAAAGTATCATGTTTCCCTTAAAACTTTGATAATATATTAGTTACTTGTAACTTTCTCTGGCTTCCAGTTATCTTACAGTGGTCCTCCACTCTCTACTAACCGCAGCAAAATTATAACTGAGAAGAAGTAGAGGAATTAGTTCTTTAGGGCTGATTTGAGTTAACAAAAGGTTAATAGAGGGTTAAATAGGAACACAACATTTATTTGTGCTTGCAAGGTTGCTTTTACTGATGTCCTATGCAGATCGAAGGTATCCAATTGATCAGCTATAAATGAACCAGAGAGTAGGTGCAATGAGGCAACAATAACATAGCTACAGTGTAGCTCTCTTTGACACTGTAGACACTGTTCTATGAGTCACTTTATGCAAAAAAGATCTTCTGCTACAATAGAGGACAAGTCCTGGCTGTCAAAATGGCAGGTGAATTGCCAGTAAATGGGTCTGAAAGCTGCAAAGAGGTGGAGCATAGAGCACCACACAGGACAAAAGATTTTAAATTAATTTTTTGGGGAGAATGTGTAGTATACCAAAGGTCCACAACTGGTTAATGGCTGTAAAGTATATTGATGATTATTTAAAAACCAGAAGAAGTTATAAGCAAAATGAGTATATTCAGAGCTTTGAGACAAGCTTTATATTATAGAACACTCATAGTAAAACGTTTTCCCCATCTTTTCCTCCAGGTCGCGTAGGAACACCACACTTTATGGCTCCAGAAGTAGTGAAAAGAGAGCCCTATGGGAAGCCTGTAGATGTCTGGGGATGCGGTGTGATTCTTTTTATCCTATTGAGCGGCTGTTTGCCCTTTTATGGCACGAAGGAAAGGTTGTTTGAAGGCATTATTAAAGGCAAATATAAGGTAAGTAGACTTTAATAACAACAGTTGTAACAGATCTTCCTTGCAACAGACAGTTTGTAACAGAAGCGCCAGCAGCATGTGTCCAGGATGAAAAGAGAGGAGAGAAGGAGATCTTCAGTGATCAATGTATTGCGCTTATGAGGCTGATCTAGCTTAGGGAAACCTCAGCACTGGAAAACAAAACACCGAGAGCGCCTCCATCGCGTAAAAACGTTTAATAAGACAGGATTAAAACAAATGAAATGGTACTTGCAAAAGAAGAGTTTAAACAGGCATGAAAAGAATCTTATACGATGGACTTAGCCAGCCGGCTGTCAGTCCTTCCTTCCAATTGGTTCTGATGAAGGAGGCGTGACCTCAGAAACGCGTCAAACAACTAGGAAGGACTGACAGCCGGCTGGCTAAGTCCATCGCATAAGATTCTTTTCATGCCTGTTTAAACTCTACCTTTGTGAGTACCATTTCATTTGTTTTAATTCTGTTTTATTAACAGTTTTTAAGCGATGGAGGCGCTCTCTGTTTTGAGATCTTCCTTGCCTTTATAGAGAACTGAGAAAATAAGGTTTTCGGCAGCCCTCCGAAATGTTAATCATATTAGCAGTTTGCTGCTTTGTTTTTTCAAAATGAATGGGCTATTTACACCACATTCCTTAACACACAAACACGTGTGTTCTAAAGTACGCATGGTGATTAAGGGCTCTTGACTCCATGTGTTTTAATGATTCCAGAGGTAGCTTTTTCTTACATGGTTAAAGTGACATTAAACCCTCAGATTTTTTAACATAAACCAATACTGTAATGTGTGCCTTACTGTAATCCATGGTAGTTTCCCTTCTCTTTGCTGCTCTTCCTTTTAAATCCTGATGTCTTCTCATGCTTGGGGAGAACTTCCCTTTGCAGCTCAGGGCCTCTTCCTGTAGTGCTGGCTCAGGTTACAAGCCTATACAAACCTATACACAGACACCGTGTATCCATTCCTGAGACAAGGCAGTCTGCTGCAAAACAGAAGTTCTGCAGAGCATGAGAACAGGTACAGATTTAAAAGGAAGAGCAGCAAAGAGAAGGGAAACAACCATGGATTACAGTAAGGCACACATTACAGTATTGTTTTATGTTAAAAAATCTGAGGGTCATGTCACTTTAAGGTCACAGTGGTACTATACTATCAAATATACTATGGATATCCAGAACAACTAATCAGTAGGAGAATCTTGTCACATAACATAAACCTACTTGCATATCTTCTGTACACTGGCCATGCCTGAGCAGTAGCTTTCTATATACTTCTATGGGCATGTCTTCGTGTTTTCACCATCAGGATATGGCTTTATAGAAATCTGCGGGGAGCTACTATGCAATTGCGAGCAATGCAGAGTTGTGATGTTGTGATGTAGTTGTGATGAGTTGTTTGAGTTGTGATGTAAACAAGGGCCCGAGGCCCACCTGATCGGAAAGAAGTGTAATTAAAAAAAAAAAAAGCTTCATGCACAAAGTGGTGAAAGCTCTCTAGTAAATACAGACCTAATGCACATGCAATGTGGGTCAGCTGTCAGTCTGCAGGGGGTCTTGTACTCATTGATGTACCACAGAAGTTGACCCACGCTGCGTCTGTTTTACAACTTGTGTACACTGTAGAGATGCAATATAGGCCAATAAAGCAAGCTCTAATCTCCATCTACACTGGGTGCATTGGGCGTTTCTTTCAAACTGCTTAAATCACCCAGTTACATGGGAAAATTCAGTAGATATGCAGAAAAATATTGTTTCATATACTAAGATAGTTTGTTTCTTTAGTGGATTGCAACAGTTCAAGTAGGGGTTAGCCCTCGTTCACACCTGACCGTTTTGTAGCGCGTTCTACGCTCGACGAACGCTATACAAAACGGTCAAAAAAATAAATTGCATTGTAGTCAATGGTCTCGTTCCCACCTTGGCGTATTTCCGCCCGTCCCTAACGCGCTACAAAACGGCCCACGCCTGAAATGGTACAGGTACTACTGGGCCGTTTTGTAGGGCGTTTTCCATTGGAATGCAGCCAAGTAGCCTTCGGAATCGCGCGACGGTCGCGCAACTTTTTTACCGCGAATCGCGCATTAGGCGTATTTGCAATACGCCTAGGTGTGAACGAGGGCTTAAGGGTCACTTTACCTTTAACATATTGGAATGCTACTCTACAGAGCACAATGATTTTAATTGGACATGAAAAAAGCTTGTTGGCTTTGTTTCTTGTTGTACTTTAAAGCTCTGTTCCCTGCTGTTGTAACAGAGATACCTACAGGAGAGTCAAGAGATATCTAACGAAATAGATTAGCTCCTGGGGAATCATTTTATTGCACGGCATGACATGTAATGCTGCCTTGGCTATGTAAACCATTTACTACTAGCTTGCGGGCTTGTTCACACCAAAGCCGGACCAGATCTGCATGAGTTTCTGCACATGCACTGCAGTGTGTTTTGACGCGTTTCCGGGTCGTTTTTTGGGGGGGTATTTTAGCCTAAAATGTGCTTTTCAGGGCGTTTGCATGCGTTTTGGTGCATTCCAGAGCAGAAAAAAATATGGCATGCTGCAGTTTTTCCACATGCTCTGGAACTGAACGTTCTGGTGTGAACTAGAACCCAAAATACCATTGGAATACATTGGACGCAGTTTTGAAGCGTTCTGTAACTGCTCTGCATCTTCTCTGCACTTGGTGTGAACAAGCCCTGAAGAGAAAGTTAGTTATTTATAGTGTGATTACATGTGAATGAAAATGTTTATATATCTGCTCCATTCAAAGCCAATTTTTGCTTGGTTCCAGGAGTGTGGAATTCCTATCGCCCGGGACATGCAGTTTCGGGCGCCGGGCGAGTAGTTTTTTTTATTCTATTTAGCCCTGCTTCGGACCATCGGAGCTAAATGTACAGCGTGGGGCCGCCACTCGTTTTTATACCAGTGATCTGATTAGATCACTTGTATGAAAGGATCGGCGGCGATTGTGTCCGGCCCCCGCCGCCGTGACCACGGCACACGAGCTCACCATAGAGCCCGAAGAACGGACGTTCTTCGTCTTCTCTGTGTAATCAATGAGACCATGGCGCTGTGATCACAGCGCCACCTGTCTCAGCCATCAGGAACTGCACAGAACATCAGTTCTGTATTGGAGGGCAGGTTCCATAGAGAGAACCTGTCACCTCCTAACTATCACATAGGAGTTTTTAAGCCCTATGTGATAGGAATAAAATTAAGTGGGAGAAAAAATAATAAATGTAAAAAAATTAAGTTATAAAAAATAATAAAATATGTAAAAATTAAAAAAATTAAAGTGATAAAGTAAAAAAATAAAAAAGTTAAAACCAACCCCGCTGCCACAGTCATCTGCATGTAAATAAATGCGTGCATAAGACATTGTATGTGCGTTGAGTGCTGCTGCCATTCCACTTTGTGCCATATTGTGGTAGCCTAGCAGCAGAACTCTCCTACATGCACAATATGCATTAAAGGAGAACTATGGGGTCAGTGTTTTTCCCCATAGTTCTCCCGAGGGTCACGGGAGGACATAAACTAGCGTGGCCCAAAGCTCAGTATACCGTGAGATACAGCTCACTATATACTGGGACCGTTTGTTCCTCCAGTCAGTGCTAGAGAATCAGAGCGGGGAGGGGGGGAATCACTGCAGGTAGCCGTGAGTGACAGTTACAGCTCTCTGCAGGGACAGGATCGAGAAGTGAGCGAGCGACGGTATGTGTTCCCTCACTTCCTGATCTATAGAGCCGACGTGTAACAGTTTATTTGTCACACGTCAGCTCGAACTATGAAAATCACTCACCTCATAGTTCTCCTTTAAAGAGCAAGATCACTTTCCCAAGTAATATGGGAAAATGGAATTACCCAATCAAAGCTGGCACGGCCTCTCCCAGAATTTTGCTGGCAAATTGCAAGCACTCATTGGTCAGCGTGGTCACGCTGACCAATGAGAAGCTCTATCTAGCACAGTCAAATACAGTTTTGATTAGGAATGCACCAATACAGAATATTTGGGGCAAGTACTGGTACTCGCCCAAATGCTCCGATACCTTCCCCAATACTGGAACTTCTGGTCAGCGGAAGATTTCCTCTGACCGGCAGTGGCGTAGGGGAACATGGAGCCAGCTTCCTGTGCCATCAGGAAGCGGGGCAGCGACTAATGACCCTCCCCTGGTTTCCTGATTGTCTGGGAATCACAATCAAGCCTGCCAAACAACATGGAGTAAGCTTCCCTGTCAAACAGGAAGCTGGGTAGCATGTAGTTACCTGCTGCCCAGCTTCCTGATGGCATGGAGCAGGCTTCCCGGGCAAACAGAAGCACCGATACTCTGTATCGGTGAGTACCAAAAGCAAAGTATCAGTGCTCGTACTCGATACCCAAAAACCTATATCGGTTCATCCCTAGTTTTGATTAAAACTATTTTTTTGTATTGGGACATGTAGATTTTCATGAGGGACAAGTAGATTCGGCCCCCTCTTTAGCCCTTGGACAAGTAGTTTTTTTTTTTTAAATGTCCACACCCCTGGGTTCTTTTCCAGCCAGACTGTGATTCAATTTGTTAGTAGACACCCATGATAGAAGTAAGGGGCTGCCAATGAGGACTTATTTTCAAGGAGCGTTTATTATTTTTGTTTGTATAGGGTATTTATGTTTTTGATACAAGATGCCATAGCAAATTTTCAGGTAGTAGTGGAAGTAAAGATTAAGGGTTATCATATGCACATCCTTTTCTTTTTCTTTTTTTATTTTATTAAATGTGTTGTAAAGTAGCCACCGCTCCAAGCTCGCTCCTAGAATGGACTACAATCTCAAATTAGTAAAACTAAATGTGAGATTGTAGTCCATCATGGAAGTGATCTTGGAGCGCTGGTACTTTATAACACACACAGGGAGCATGGGTATCAAAAGTAGCCACCCTCCAGAAGGAAGGACAGCACCAATTTAGAGATGATTTGAGGTTCTACAGCCGAGTGATGCACAAATAAGATATATTTTTGTTAATAGCTAAGATATCTGAATGCATTTTAAAGATTTAACTCCTGAGTTTTGGGTCACTAAGTGTTTGTGTGTATGAGCTTCAGATTCATAGGCAAGTTAAATGCAACCATGTGAAAACTTTCGTTTCTTGTGCCATCCTACTGACTCGTATAAAAGAACAAAATTAGTTGAAACACAACAATAGGCTTCTTAGGATCAGATTCAGAATTCCAATATATTGTTTCTGAACCCCCAAAAATGTTTCAGCAACTAAACACAAACTGGCATGCACACAACCCCAGAATGTCTGTGAGAACTCTGTTTTGCGACAAGTCTACCTTAGCCCGGGTTCACACCCCCAACACATCACTGCTCAAAAACGTGCAATACGTTTGCTGTGCCATTACCTGTTAATGGAACCCCAAATATGGCTGTTAAAATGCACGTTCCCCTGCTGCATGAGCTACTTTCTCACACATGCAGCAGCCCATTGATTGAATTCACGTGAAAGCACATACACACACGCACGTTACTGCAGCACAAAGTGCGACTGGGGCCTTACTGTTACACTACAGGACCATACAACATTGACACACACACCTCTATTTTCCAAAACATAAAAAAAAAATGTGTAGCTGCATTACATTGACAACTTTATGGCATTGCATACCTAAAATGCCAAATTTCAGTTTTGCATGGATATACCCTTTAAAGGCGAACTATGTAGTGAGTGAATTACACTCATTCCTATAGTAAGAGCCAATGTATTACATTGAAACTGTCACACGTCCACTCTATTGATGGGGAGACATACCGCCGCTCGCTGAATTCCCGATTATCCCCCTGCACAAAACGGTGATAGTCGGTCACGACTCCCCGCAGGAATCCCCTCACCTTCCCGATCCTCTAGCGCTTACTGGTGGGATGGCCAGTGGAGGGGGCGTGCATAGCTGGCTAGAGAAGCAGAGCCAGCTGTCAATCAGCCAGCGGGGTGCATTATTGTCGGGATCCGTCCCGGCTGTGCTGCTCTCCGCATATAGCAGGCAATAGCCCGCTGTATACTAAGTTTTGGTTCACAGGAGGAGGTTGGTATATGTCCTTCTGTGACTAAAGAGAACTATGGGGGAAAAAAGGTTACCCCATAGTTCTCTTTTAAGTAAATGTATTTCCTCCATTTTATCACTCTTCTATTGCATTTGAAATATAGTTAATATTTATATGTAGATTTGTACCTTTTAGGTTCTAAAAGTAAATGTCCTTGACATTTTGAGAGCACAGACTTTTCTTAAATGTGCACTTTATAACTCAAGCAATATTGATGCTTTGACATCTGTAACGTAGTGTAAGCTAGGAATGTAGATTCAAACGTTTATTAGGCTGGGAAGTTTGTATTATGGAAATTGTAGTCACCAGTAGAAATGCAGGGGTCATCTGTGACCTGTCTGCTGCTTACATCAGCAGGAAGCAAGCCATATGGAGAGGAAGCAGCTGTGTGCCCAATTCTTGTGCAATCAACACTGGATTTCACTTACTAACATGGAATTTAATCATCTGCTGCGTAACACGTCAATAAATATTTGCAGTCCTCTCTAAATTATTTTCCCACAAAAGTGAATGAGACTATAGACCAATTGATCAGGCCCAGGGTGAGGGTGGATAATCTAAAACATCAGAAGGTTACCAAAAAGTTAACATTTGCAATAGTGTATGACTCAGTGTCAACTTGTGGTATCTGTTTTCAGTGTTCCAGTATGTCCTACCAAAGCTGACGTCTCAGAAGTTCTCTTATTTATTGTAATAATACTATCTACAGATCATGTGAATTACTGCAACCAAAATTGTTGGTATTTTTCTTAATTTCAAATTTGAGATGGGTTATAGTCATAATGACAAAAGGGTTCATCTTTAGTACATTTGGGTATGTTTAATGCTAATCTTGTGTTCATTGTTGACTTGGCCGCACAAAACTTTGGAAATTGTAATAGATCAGCAGTATGAAAAGACAAAAACTATTTTAAGGGACTTAAAACAGGGTTCATAGTAACTAGCGCAATCCACGATTCCTGCATATAAATGTGAGAAAAGTTCTACTGTTTCACCAAGGGTCTGGAAAATCCTGTTCAAAGTTCTGTGTATCTGTAATTTATGGGGATAGGTGTTGGGTGGGGGCAGTGGCGGACCTAAGAAACAAAGGGCCCTGGTGCAAGATTTTTTTTTGGGCTCCCCCCCCCAAAAAAAACACAGCGCTCTCCTCCCGCAGCGCTCTCCTCCCGCAGCGCTCAGCCAGTTCTCACTTTCTATCCTCACCGCTGGGACACAGAGCAGCGCCCACTCACCTAGAGACCCCAAACAAGCTGAGGAATCAGAGATCTGCTTTCCCAGCTTCTTGTCCTGACTCAGAGCCAGAGACTGTGTACAGTGACACCGGAAGTGATGTAATACACAGCGGAAGCGCGCGGCAAAGACGGGGTAAGTTTAAACCGCGTTAAAGCAGGTTTTTTTCTTCAACTTTTTGCATATATCTACTGCTTGCTAGCCTTATATATATGCAAAAAAGCCGGAGGGTTTAATAACCCTTTAATACTCACCTGATCCCTGGAACGACCGACAAGCGCAGCGTCCCGACTCTCACGCTGTCATTATATACATACAGAGCGTGCAGGTTACTATTTAAACCGGCGCGCTGTGTGCAGCTTCTGAGAAGATACGCTATTAGCGTAGCGGGGAAGCTTGCTGCGCATTTTGCATTGCTACGCTAATAGCGTATCTTCTCAGAAGCTGCACACAGCGCGCCGGTTTAAATAGTAACC